TCCAGAAAAAGGCAGGAATTATGTCACATTTGAGTCCTTTTCCCTCCCCCAACAAAAGGCAGGAATTTCGTCCCATCTGGGTCCAGCCCAGGGGAATTGTCCCCTGATTGCCAGTGCCAGCCCGGGAACAAAAGCAGAGGGATTTGGGGTCTGTTTGGGGAAGGAGCCACCCTTTGTGCTCCCGAGGGAGCCCTTTGTCCACCCCTCCCTCAGGAGTCACCGCTGGAGCCTTGGGATGAGGGTGACCCCGGGTTTGGATTGGGGTGACTCCAGCTTGGGATTGAGGTGACCCCAGGTTGGGATTGTGGTGACTCCAGGTTTGGGATGGGGTGACCCCGGGTTTGGGTTGGGGTGACCCTGCATTTGGATCGGGGTGACCCCAGGTTTGGATTGGGGTGACTTCGGGTTGGGGTTGGGGTGACCCCGGCTTTGGGTCGGGGTGACTCTGGGTTTGGGTTGGGGTTGGGTTGGGGTGACCCCAGGTTTGGATCGAGGTGACTCTGGGTTTGGGTCGAGGTTGGGGTTGGGGTGACTCCAGGTTTGGATTGGGTTGACTCCGGCTTTGGATTGGGGTGACTCCACATTTGGATTGGGGTGATTCCAGGTTTGGATTGGGGTGACTCCGGGTTTGGGATGGGGTGATTCCAGGTTTAGATTGGGGTGACTCCAGGTTTGGATCGGGGTGATTCCAGGTTTGGCTCAGGGTGACTCTCAGGGGTTTGGCTCGGGGTGACTCGCAGGGAAGTGAAGCCTTTTCACTCAACACTTCAGGTCACTTTTGCACCTCCCAGCTCAGCTCAGCTCAGCCCTCGCCCAAACGTGTCCCCACCCAGGACAAGCCCGAGCTGGCAGCGCCGGGACATTCCCCTGTCACCATCAGGACATTCCCCCGTCACCGCCAGGACATTCCCCTGCCACCGCCGGGACATTCCACTGTCACCACCAGGACATTCCACTGTCACCTGGGACTCTGCTCCTCCATCCAGCCTTTACAAACCGGGAATGGGAGATGGGATGAGTCACCCCCGGCACCGTCTGCGGTTGACTGGGGATGTGATTCAAGGTCTCCCGGGCCGGAGGTCAAACCACAGCAGGGATTTTGGGAGGGAGATTTATCCAAAGGTTCCGCTTTTCCAGGGAGAGTTGGGGTTGATGGGGGGGGAGGGAGGTCTTGCTCTTCCCAGGGCCTCAGTTGCCCTTTGGAGACTCCTTAAGAGCAATCCATGGATCCCTGGGGAGGTCAGACAGCAGGAAAAGCTGCTCTGGAGTCGAGGATACCAAGGAATCAGCTCTGAATTAGCTGGAGGGGCGACAACCACCTTTCCCTCTCCCACCCAACCCGGGAAGGATGTTCCCAAAGCACTTGGGGCTGTGCAAGGGTTGCCCCGAGAGCTCCAGCTCTGCCACCACAGCCCCAAGACCACCCTGGAGGACGAGGAGGTCGGAGACAGAGGTGGGATAGGGGGGGAAACGTCCCAAATTGGCCAACTCAGGCAGGGAAAGGGCTCAGGAAGAGGAAAGGGAAGAGAAGAGTCTCCTAAAATCCACGGGGTCCCAAAGGCTGCTCGGGTCTGATGGGGACAAGGGGGGACAAAGGGTCACCACGGGAGACCCCCCTGGGGCAGGGAGGAGGGTCCATGTGCTGCCTCTTCCTCTGTGCCAGGAATGGGCTCTTTCCTGGGGGTGTCACCCTGTGCCCCACATCCCAAACCCCTCCCCTGGCGAGATCCCCTCGGAGCTCCCACCAAAGTCACCGAGCACCCACATTTTTGGGGCGGGAGAGAGGAAAAAGAGGAGCCCGGGCTGCGCCTTCCCCGGGGCTCCTTCAAACCCCGACTTCAAAGGGCAGGAGAAAGTGAGGAAGCGCTTTCAGATCCCGTCTTGTCGCAACACGAAACTCTCGGGTCGGGGAGGAAAAACCACACCAGGTTTCTGCCTCTCGTGTTTATTGGGGGGGAGAAAGGTCGGGTGAACACACACGGCCGGGCCCGGGAGCACCAGGGAAGGGGGGAACCCGGAGCCAAAACAGAGCTTTTACAACAGAAACTCGGGCGAGAGGGAGGGGGAAAAAAAGGGAATGAAAAGTCCGTGGGGTGAGAAACGTCTTCGGCTGGGCCGGGAGGAAATTCCTGTTTTGGAGCTCGAGCTCTGGCTGATGAGCAGCTCCGATTAAAGTTGCACCACGGCTGGAGCCAGCCCGAGGGCTTGGAGAAGCCGAGTCTTCCTGAGCTGGGTCTTCCCAAACCAAGTCTTCCTGAGCTGAATCTTCCCGAGCCGAGTCTTTCTGAGCTGAGCAGGGACCCGTCCCCTCTTGTGTCGGTGGTCAGGAGCCTCTCACTCAGAGTGTGCTGATCCACGGGCTCATCCCAGACGGATTTAGGGCTTCCCAGTGAACAGGGAGGTCATCCCAGTTTGGTCTGGGGTTCCCTATGAACAGCAAGGTAATTCCAGCTGGGTTTGGGGTTCCCAGTGAACAGGAAGGTCATCCCAGCTGAGTTTGGGGTTCCCTATGAACAGGCAGGCCATCCCAGCTGAATTTGGGGTTCTCAGCAAACAGGAAAGTCATCCCAGATGGATTTAGGGCTTCCCAGTGACCAGGAAGGTCATCCCAGCTGGGTTTGGGGTTCCCTGTGGATGGGCAGGTCCTGCTTCCAAAGGAGAGCTCAGCCCCCCAATAACCAGCAGCTGGAGGGGATGGAGCTGTTCTCGGCTGCTGGTGGGAATCTCCATCCTCAGCGGGTGGGTCTGGTCGTGTTTTTGGGAATCTCCATCCTCAGCAGGTGGGTCTGGCCGTGTTTTCCTCCCCCCACGGTCCCAGTGATGGTTCCAAAGGACTCGGGGATGCTCTGGGGGCTCACCGTGGAATTCCCGTCCTTTCTCCGCGGGGTGCTGGGAATGGGGCTGGGGAAGGGATCCTGTCCCTACACCCTCCGGCCGGGAGAGCCGCTGTTCTTCAGGAGGGTGCCAGACCCCGTCACCACCGAGCTGGACCCCCCGCCCACGGAGCCAAACCCGGCCCCTGAGGAGCCGAATCCGCCCCCGGCTCCGAATCCTCCCCCTCCCAGGCTGAAGCAGAGCCCGGCTCCGCCCGTGGAGCAGCTCCCTTTGCCGCTCCCGAATCCAATTCCTCCTCCTCCGAGGCACATCCCGCCGCCGTATCCGCCTCCCACGGAGCTGCTGCCGCCCACCACGGCTGCGGAGAGGAACGGGAGGCCCCGGGTTACCTGCGGAGTTTGGGAGCAGCGATCCCAGCCCGCCGCGATCCCACGGGAATGGTACTTACAGATGCTGACGGCGCTCTGGCATTCCCCAGACATCCTGCAAGGAAAAGAGGTGGAGTGTTGGATGCAGCCAGAGCATCTGGAGCTGCCTTGCCCCCATCAGATCCGAGTAACCTTTGGGACCCCGTGGATTTTAGGAGGCTCTTCCCTTCCCTTTTCTCTTCCTGAGCCCTTTCCCTGCCTGAGTTGGCCAATTTGGGACGTTTCCCCCCATCCCACCTCTGTCTCTGACTTCCCCATCCTTCTCCCTTCTCCAACAAAATGCAGGAATTACGTCACATCTGAGTCCTTTTCCCTTCTTCAACAAAAGGCAGGAATTATTTCGCATTTGAGTCCTTTTCCCTCCTCCAGAAAAAGCCAGGAATTACGTCACATTTGAGTCTTTTTCCCTCCCCCAACGAAAGGCAGGAATTTTGTCCCACCTGGATCCAGCCCGGGGGAATTGTCCCATAATTGACCACCAGGGTGGTCCCGGGGCTGTGGTGGCAGAGCTGGAGCTCTCGGGGCACCCCTTGCACAGCCCCAAGTGCTTTGGGAACATCCTTCCCGGGTCGGGTGGGAGAGGGAAGGGTGGTCATCACCCCTCCAGCTAATTCAGAGCTGATTCCTCCACATCCACCTGCCCCAGCTCCGGGCTTTGCTCCACAGTTTGGTCGGGGCAACACCACGTGGAGCTGACAGAGCACATTTTTCCCATCGATTTACCGGGATACCACGGAATTCCCGCCGCATCCCACCCACCTGCACTCCTCTCCCTCCAGCAGCTTCCTGTAGGTCGCGATCTCGATGTCCAGGGCCAGCTTGGCGTTCATGAGCTCCTGGTAGTCGCGGAGCTGCCGGGCCATGTCCTGCTTGGCCTTCTGCAGGGCGCTCTCCAGCTCGGCCAGCTTGGCCCGGGCGTCCTTGAGGGCCCCCTCCCCGCGCTGCTCCGCGTCCGCGATGCTCGTCTGGAGGGTCTCGCACTGGGGGGAGGCACGGGGGGGTCAGAGGGGAGGGGGCAGCCAAGGGGAGAGGAAGGAAAGATCCCAGGTCATGGAATTGGGGAGCGGTTCGGGCTGGAAGGGACCTTAAAGGTCGCCGAGAGCGTGGGCAGGGACACCTCCCACCATCCCAGGGGGATCCAACCCGGCCTTGGGCACTCCCAGGGATCCAGGGGAAGCCACTGGGAAATCCATTCCAGGGTCTCCCCACCCTCCCAGCCAGGAATTCCTTCCTAGTATCCCACCTAAATCCCCCCTTTCCCAGTGCAAAGCCATTCCCTGTGTCTGTCCCTCCAGCCCTCGTCCCCAGTCCCTCTCCAGCTCTCCTGGAGCCCCTTCAGGTCCTGGAAGGGGCTCCAAGATCTCCCTGAATCCTTCCCTTCTCCAGGCTCACACACACTCATCCCATCCCACCTTTCCATGGGCAGGGACACCTCCCACTATCCCAAACTGCTCCAAGCCCTGCCCAACCTGCCCTTGGACACTTCCAAGGACGGATCATCCCTCACCTGTTCCAGGGCCACTCCAGCTCAGCTTTTCCACAGCAGGTCCCTCCCACTCCCAACGATTCCCAGCACCTTTATTTCCCTCCAGGGAAGCCCCGAAGGGCTCGTCCATGAGCTCAAACCCATTTCCCCAGGGACACCCCCCTCACCTGCTTCTTCACGCTGTCGATCTCGGCGCGGATCCTCTGGATCATCCGGTTGAGCTCCGAGATCTCGGCCTTGGTGTCCCTCAGGCTGTCCCCGTGTTTGCCCGCGCTCACCTGCAGCTCCTCGTACTGGGGGCACAACCAGGAGGAGCTCAGTGGGTCCGGCCCGACCCCACGGCTCCTCCGGCACCGCAGGATGGCCCCGGCTGTGCCGGGAAAGCCACGGCAGGGTCTGAATGAACCAGAGCCAGCGAATCCCAGGTCCTGGAGTGCTCTGAGCTCCCAGTCCCAGGTCCTGGAGTGCTCTGAGCTCCCAGTCCCAGCTCCTGGAGTGCTCTGAGCTCCCAGTCTGAGATCCTGGAGTTCTCTGAGCTCCCAGTCCCAGGACCTGGAGTGCTCTGAGCTGCCATGAGTGACTCTCCCATCCCCTTGGACAGAGCAGATCACCAGAAAGGTGGGACACTCCCACTATCCCAGCTCCTGGAGTGCTCTGAGCTCCCAAACCCAGCTCCTGGAGTGCTCTGAGCTCCCAATCCCAGGTTTTGGAGCAATCTGAGCTCCCAGTCCCATGGTTTAGAGTGCTCTGAGCTCCCAATCCCAGGTCCTGGAGCACTCTGAGCTCCCAGTCCCATGGTTTATAGAGTGCTCTGAGCCTCCAATCCCAGGTCCTGGAGTGGTCTGAGCTCCCAGTGGTGCCTCTCCCACCCCCCCAAACCCCGGGGGTCCCCAAGAAGGTGGGACACACCCACTATCCCAGCTCCTAGAATGGTCTGAGCTCCCATGGGTGCCTCTCCCACCCCCACAGACCCCTGAGGGGTGGCACACACCCACCTTGCCCCGGTACCAGGCCTCGGCCTCGGCGCGGCTGCGGTTGGCGATCTCCTCGTACTGCGCCTTCACCTCGGCGATGATGCTGTCCAGGTCCAGGTTCCGGTTGTTGTCCATGGAAAGCACCACCGAGGTGTCGGAGACCGTCTTCTGCATCTGGGACAGCTCCTGCGGGGCACACCCGGCCCGGATTCAGCCCTTCCGGAGCTTCCCGGCAGCGCCACAACCCCCTCAACATCCCGACATCCCTTATCCTGACATCCCTCCATCCCTCCATCCCTCCGTCCCAACATCCCTTATCCTGACATCCCAAAATCCCAACATCCCTCCATCCTGACATCCCTTATCTTGACATCCCGACGTCCCTCCCTCCTGACATCCCTTATCCTGACATCCCTCCATCCCTCCATCCCAACATCCCGACATCCCTTATCCTTATCCCTCCATCCCAACATCCCTTATTCTGACATCCCTTATCCTGACATCCCTCCATCCCGACATTCCAACATCCCTCCATCCCTCCATCCTGATATCCGTCATCCTGACATCCTGACATACCTCATCCCTCCATCCCGGCATCCCTCACCCCAACATCCCTTATCCTGACATCCCTCCATCCCTCCATTCCTCCATCCCTCCATCCCTCATTCCTCCATCCCTCCCTCCCTTATCCCAACATCCCTCCATTCCAACATCCTGACATCCCTCCATCCCACCATCCCTCATCCCTTATCCCTCCATCCCACCATCACTCACCGCCTCGTAAAGGCACTTGAGGAAGTTGATCTCATCCACCAGGGAATCCACTTTTGCCTGGAGCTCCACCTTGGTCATGTAGGCCCCGTCCACGTCCTGCAGCAGACACGGGCTGAGAAAACCTGCCCGGCTCAAAGGCCCCCTTGGAGCTCAGATTTCATGGAATGGTGGGATGGGATGGGTTGGGACAAATCCTAAATCCAGTGCCACCCCCTGCCATGGGCAGGGACACCTCCCACCATCCCAGGGGGATCCAACCTGGCCTTGGACACTCCCAGGGATCCAGGGGCATCCTCTGGGAAATCCATTCCAGGGCCTCCCCACCCTTCCCAGACAGGAATTCCTTCCCAATATCCCATCTAAATCCCCCCTTTCCCAGTGGGAAGCCATTCCCTGTGTCCTGTCCCTCCAGCCCTTGTCCCCAGTCCCTCTCCAGCTCTCCTGGAGCCCCTTCAGGCCCTGGAAGGGGCTCCAAGCTCTCCCTGGATCCTTCCCTTCCCCAGGGGAACATTCCCAGCTCTCCCAGCCTGGCTCCAGAATCAAGGAATCCTAAAATGATTTAGGTTGGGAAGGGGCATTAAAGCCCATCCCATTCCACCTTTCCATGGGCAGGGACACCTCCCACCATCCCAGGGGGATCCAACCTGGCCTTGGACACTTCCAGGGATCCAGGGGCAGCCACAGTTTCCCTGGGAAATCCATTCCAGGGCCTCCCCACCCTCCCAGCCAGGAATTCCTTCCCAATATCCCATCTAAATCCCCCCTTTCCCAGTGGGAAGCCATTCCCTGTGTGCTGTCCCTCCATCCCTCGTCCCCAGTCCCTCTCCAGCTCTCCTGGAGCCCCTTCAGGTCGGGAATAAAGGTCTGGACCTTCTTGAGGAGCACGAAGTCATTCTCGGCCGCCGTGCGCTTGTTGATCTCCTCCTCGTACCTGGGGAGCAGAGATGGGATTTGCCTCTGGAATGGCCTCGGGAGCCTCGGGAGCTCGGCAGGAACAGCCCAGGAACTGTCCCTGGGACAGGCCCCGGCTCCAGGATCCCCGGGAAAGCCCGGGAAGAGGAATCCCAGCTGCTCCAGGACCTTCTCCAAGGCTCCAGTTCCGCACACGGATCATGGAATTCCCCCCAGGGACCCACCGGGATCATCATTCAACCCCAAAAATCCCCTCATGGGCCGTTTCCCCAAAAATAAAGTCAATTTTCAACCCGCAGATCCCAGGCCTGGGTGATCCCGGTGATTCCCAGACTCCTTTTCCCAGTTTTTTTGGGGGGGAATTCCTCGAGTGGATTCTTTTCTGCAGGATTTGCTCTTCCTTTTCCAACTGGACTGGTTTTATCATCTTATTTACACACCAAAATAAATTATATTTATATATAATAACTATAAAGATATCAAATGTAAAAATATAATAAATAAAATAAATATAATAAATATAATAAGTATAATATTATTATAATATTCAAGCTATAATTTATATTTATATTCTACTTAAGGAGGAAATAAAGGAAAAAAGGCAGGAAAATAATCCTCTTTCTTTTCCCTGTCTTTTTTTTTACGCCATCTCAACCTTCCCAAGAACCCTTGGAATCCTGAAGAGTTTTATGGGAAGGAAACCCAGGAGGAAATTGGAGCCGGGTTTAGCAACTAATTAAGTCGTTAAATCGTAATGTCACGGATTCCTAATTGAGGGAGGCAAAGAGTGGAGGATCCTCCCTCGGGATCCAAACAATGCACGGAGAAAATCTGAGGAATATCGAGGAAATGTGAGGAATGTTGAGGAAATTTGAGGAAATTTGAGAAATATTGAGGAATATCAAGGAGATTTAAAGAATATTGAGAAAATTTGAGGAATATTGAGAAAATGTAAGGAATATTGAGAAAATATGAGGAATATCAAGGCAATTTGAGAAAATTTGAGGAATATCGAGGAAATTTGAGGAATATCAAGGAAATTTGAGGAATATTGAAGAAATTTGAGAAATATTGGGGAAATTTAAAGAATATTGAGAAAATGTAAGGGATATTGAGAAAATATGAGAAATACTGAGGAATATCAAGGAAATTTGAGGAATACTGAGGAAATTTGAGAAATATTGAGGAGATTTAAAGGATATTAAGAAAATTTGAGAAATATTAAGAAAATTTGAGGAATATTGAGAAAATGTAAGGAATATTGAGAAAATATGAGGAATATCAAGAAAATTTGAGGAATATTGAGGAGATTTAAAGAATATTGAGAAAATGTGAGGAATATTGACAAAATGTAAAGAATATTGATAAAATATTAGGAATATTGAGAAAATAATAGGAATATCAAGGAAATTTGAGAAATATTGAGGAAATGTGAGGATTACTGAGGAAATTTGAGGAATATTGAAGAAATTTAAAGAATATTGAGAAAATGTGAGGAATATTGGCAAAATATAAAGAATATTAAGAAAACATTAGGAATATTGAGAAAATATAAGGAATATCAAGGAAATTTGAGGAATATCGAGGAAATATGAGGAATATCGAGGAAATTTGAGGAAATTTGAGAAAATTTGAGGAAATTTAAGAAAATTTGAGCAGATGTGAGAACCACGGAGAAAACTTGAGGAATATCAAGGAAAGTTGAGAAATATCGAGAAACACCTTAAAAAAATCCCCCCCTTTTCCTCCGAGCCCGACGTCCCCCAAAAAAATCAATATTGGAAAAAATAAATATTGACAATTATTAGCAATATTTCGGGGGTTTTGGGGCTGTTCAAAGCGGGGTTTTCTCTCTGTTTCTTCACCCCTGAAGCACCTACTTGGTCTTGTAGTCCTCGACCATGTCCTGGGAGCTCTTGAGCTCCGAGTCCAGCTGGTGCCTCTCGCTGGAGAGGGCATCGATCTGCCTGCGCAGCGAGCTGATGTAGGCCTCAAAGATGGGCTCCAGGCTCCTGCCCCCCGGGCCAACCCCCCCCTGCTCCTGCAGCAGCTTCCACTTGGTCTCCAGGACTCGGTTCTGCTGCTCCAGGAATCGCACCTGAACGGGGAAGGGGGAAAGAGTCACAGTTTTCCCCCCAAAAAAATCACATTTTATTGATTTTTTTCCCCTCCTTTTTTTTCCCAGTGTTTTATTCTTGTTCAATGGGTTTGACCTTCCTGGTGGTCTCATCTCTCCCGGTCCCAAGGGATGGGTGGGACAACAGTGGGTGGGAAACGGGGGGGTCACCTCCCCTCTCCAGTTTTGGAGCCTTTAAGCAGGAGGGACACAGTGAAATTCCCAGGTTTGGCATTTTCTCCTTCGAAACAGCTCCCCAAAAAGCCCGATTTTCTACTTAAAAGTAGCCCAAAACACCCAAAGTCCCACCTTTGCCTTAAAAAATATAGTCAGAATACCAAAAATCCCACCTACTCCTTAAAAATAGCCAAAAATCCTGCCTTCTCCTTAAAAATAGCCCAAAAAACTTCCATCTTCTCCTTAAAAA